ATGATAAACTATAATTAATATAAACTTATGCCCTCGAAATTACACAACTAGGAAATCATGTACCAGAGTTACCTTACTACATTAGTTATACATCTAAATATTACATTGAATTGATTGAAATAACGTTTATTTATGGTATAAGCCGGTAAACGAGCAGACGGATCACCTAATAGTAAGCAATCGGCGTTGCCCATGGACACCAGCAGCTGTAGTCAAATGCTATTTAGCACTTGTCTGCTTGTAGAGTAGAAAACTAAATTATATGAAATTGACGCAAATTTTGACACTTGTCAGTGTCTTGTCATTCCCATACATTTTGATTTCTACTCTTTCAGTAGACAAGCGCTAAAATGGCATTTGGCTAAAGGCACAGGAATACCAGAACCGTTACAAGTGCGTTACCGGCCTTTTGGGGATTAGGGGTTTGAGGATTGTTGGGGATTCAGGGATCGGGGAGATTGGAGTGAGGATCGCTAAAAATTAGGTAAGTACCTACTTAATTTATTTTATACTAGAAGAGTATACTAACAATGCGGAATAGTTTTATTATGTGCTTAATTCTTGAAAAGTTACTTTGATTATTCATTGTCTTGTTGGTAAAAAGTGCGTAGGTACTACTTTGTATAATGTATCTCTTGCGTATTAAAAATATTATGACATGATTTATAGAAATCCTATAAATATAGTATACTTCTTGTAAAGTGTAAAGACTTGCGGTCAGAGCTTAAACAATTTCATAAAACTTGACAAAAACCTTCATCGTATACAAAAAATCTTTTTACAATTTAAAAATTAAACAAAAATGATAAAGAACGGCCATTATATTCAAAGTTTGTGTGAATGTCGAGGAATGTAAAGGGCCTTATTACCGGGACCCTTGTATAAATGATTGTGATTGATGGCGTACAAGACATACGCCTCCGTACCTACAGGCATCGGTGAAAACAAAATAATGATTCATACAGATGGAAATTCAACTATAGAAGACAGATTTAAAGCCAAACTTAAATCGTTCCTTCAACTAATCACTACATAGTATAAAACAAAGTCGCTATCCGCCGTCTGTCTGTCCCTAAGTCCCTATGTGTGCTTAGATCTTTAAAACTACGCAACGGATTTTGATGCGGTTTTTTAATAGATAGAGTGATTCGTGAAGGTTTATATGTAGAGGTATAATACATGCATATTGCACCCGTGCGAAGCCAGGGCGGGTCGCTAATTTTCAATAAACTACTACCTTCTACCTTCTTATTAAACTCGGTTAATAAGTATACTAACGCCTACTCCTTAGTATACAAATATTTTTTCTGCGGCAAAGTCGATTCAGCTAATCGAGAGATAATTGCGGATAAACATACTGGTCAAATTTAAAATATCCTTCTTTTTTTCAAATCGGTAGTAGAAGGGTGGGTGGTGGCGATGGCTTACTATTAGGTGATTCGGAAGTTCGTTTGCCGCCCTATACCATAAAAAAAATACACACAGGTGCATGCACACTGACAGACAATTTGTCGTGACAAATGTCCTCAGAATTCATGTTAAATGCATTTGATTGAGCGATAACGAATTTTCGAGAAGTTTATGCACTGTTTAGTAACGAGATTTAGACGTTCACTTGATTGATTCTAAGGTCAGCAAGGATTTATAGTTCTTTATTACATACTAGTTTTCTGCGGTTACGCCTGTGTAGAATTTAAAAGATTTTGCTCGGATTGGTATCGATTTTCTGGGGATATGAGAAAAAAAAACTTAGGTTAGGCCCTGAAAAGTAAACTTTTTGGTAGTGAAACTATTTTACAAATTGGTCAAGTAGTTTTGAAGCATATTCAATGCAAACAAACAAATAATCAATCAGAACTTACGTCTTTATCATGTCGTGTATAGAGACGTAATAAAAGTAATGGTCACGAAATTATTGGATTTATGTCATTCATAAACTGTTTGCTAATCTTAGAGACATTTCACGAGCTAAATAAGCCAATTTAGGGATTTAACTATGGAGTGTTCCTAGTAAATTAGTCATTAAAACTGGACGAATGATTGTAAAATTGCGAAACGTAGAAGGGTCATAAGACCTTAATTGAAGAGTAAAACGCAAAGTAGGCCAAAACCACTAAAAATGTCAAGCAGTTTAGGAGTGAACGCGAAACAAACAAACACTTAGGTACATTTATAGGCAATTTAAGGATGATAAGTTTGACAAGTTAACAGTTTACTTAAGGCATAACTTATTTTTTAACATTCGATATTGTTGTTATTTAAATCATATAGACTCGACATTCAACAGATATCGAAATTCAGCTCCGACAACGTTTGAGTCACTTCGATTACGATATGGCAAATTCAAATTCGAACTAAAAAGGTTACTAGCATTTCCCTTGCAGTTTCACCTGTTAAACTTTGCACAAGCATCATCCACTAGTAAAATCTGCATCGAAATCGGCTTAGTAGTTTTTGAATTTAGCACGAAAATCTAGACCAATAATCAGACGTACAGACAGACAAACATGGTGGGGTGCTTTGTTTAATGCGTTGTTTTATAATACGTGTATATGTTTACAAATCTTTGTTACTTTGCAGATCTCGATGGAGACAGACATCTTCATCTGGAGTGATCTGTGACACGTTGTACTTAAGGACGGTTCTTTATTCGCGTCAAACAGCCTGCACGTGACGTTTAAATGCATTATTAATTGCATCCCAGTGCTGTAGCTGCTTTTATAAGGTATTTGTGAGACTCGTATCGAATATGTTGGTTTGAAGTTAATTTTAATAAAATATATAAGTACCTAAATAGAATCCTTTGTTGTTTTTTTTTAAATTGTGTTATTACACATTTGAATGTAATAGGACAAGTCTATATCAGACTTTGTGTGTACTCAGAGAATGTCAGAAATCTTGAAATTCCATTTAATATTTAACTAGATACAGAAGTCGAAATCGACCTTTCTTCAGCAGCCATAAAATCTGAACAGACTTACATATTTCCAATAAGCAATAGGTAACAAATTTACCAATTCGCCTATGGTCATTTTATACAAACTTGATCAGAAATCCACGAATAAACCACTTATTTCAGCATTCTCTTTCAATAATATTCATACATACTATACTTATATGTAAAACAGATGTAAACGTCACGAGTTAATGGCAGCCATCAGTCGGAGTCTAATGCGTTGCGACGCAAAATAAAACAAGTGCGCAAATTGTTTTAAATGGGCAGGTAGGCTCGCGCCCGCCTGACCTACAGACGAGCCTTATTGCCAAAAACGAAATATTAACTTTTTAGGGTACTGTAAAAGTCTGGAAAATCTTGATGAACTAAGTTGAATTGGGTAATTGCCAACTAGTCAAATTCAATACTTTTTCCAAAATGTCAAAACGACAGTTTTCTATGAATTTTGTATGAGATTGTGTATTGTGACGTCACTTTTTTTCAGCTTCAAAAAGCATACTTATTTTTTTTTAAATTTGCTGAAAAAATACTAAAATTAAGTTGGTCATAAAATCAATTAATGAAAGTGTTTTTTAATATTTTTTGTATTGAACAGTCGAAATTATTTACTTTTGATTAAGAAAACTACCCAATTGAAGATTAATAAGTGCTGGCTGTTACTTGTGGCTTCACTTATGTGGAAAATAAACTACAATATTCATCTCTGTCGGTTTACGGTTGAAAATAATACGCAAATAAAAAAATGGATTTGTGCATTCAAAGCCAAAATGGGAAAGGCTTAATTGAAAACGTAAATCGTCAAGTATTAAATTAAAACATAATATTAAAATTTTCAGAAAGTTGTTATTTATGTTTCAAATTAATATTTACACCCAAAACTGGATACAAACATTACTAACTTTTTCACAATTCTTGACGTTTTTTTTTAAGGTTTATGTATTAGTGAGCTAAGCCAACATCGAAAAATATTGTTGTATCCGAATTAAATTTTGTAAAATGTAGTCGCCAAAACAAGGTACTAAACTTTTATGAGCAAGACCTGTGCATGGGATGTAATAAAGCAGAAATTGCCTTCGGAAACGTAACCTTTTTTGATAATTTAAATAAAATAAAACTTAAAAATAAAAGAAGTGAAGATATTTTATAAGAACATTGAGTGGACATAAGGTGATGGTCGGTGTGTACAATTAAATTTCGTATAGATGACGTAGTAAGTACTCGTAGTATTACCTAATTAACTTTTTGAATTCAATTAATATGTCCGACTTCCCACGTCTATAAAAATATTAACACCTTACTTAATATGTAAAGTAAACTTATTGAGCGTGCTCGACTAGTTTCAAGTCATAACGGGGCTCAAAATCAAGAGTCGCAGCGATCAACATCACACAGCCAAAATAATGTGCCTTTAATATTATCTAAATTTAGCGTTTACGACATTTATTACACAAGACAAAACTTAGTATGTAAGACTCAGTAAGTTTGTAACGGCACAACTCACACTTGACCGCAGTTCAAATTTTACGATTCCGTAGCGAGCAAGGTTAAAGATATTATTTGGTCTGAAGTAATTAGTCACGTCAAACGCGAAATGTAGTTATAATTCACACGGAACGCTTATACACATCATGACTTTTCCTGCGGTATAGGCAGTACATTGTTGGAATTTTGCATCAGTTTTTAGTCTTGTACAATAGGAAACATGATAATTAGGAAAATAATAAGGCACCAAATAATTTAGACGGACTAATAATAATAAATTAAGGGGTGATTTTTCAATGTCCAGTAAAAATTTTCCAGAGGAATAACTTTGAATATTTAACAATTGTTCCATCCTAAACATTAAACACTGTCAAATGTCAATTTTATTCTACAGTTAAGAATTAACTGATGATTGAAAAATCGGCCCTAAGACCTACTAAATAGATTAGTAGATGAAAATATGACTGTCGTATTGCTATTAGATACAGGTACCTATTCCGTATTATCATGGAGTTAAGATTCACAATGATAAAATTATAGATGTAAGTAGAAATCCACTTACCGGTTCTGTTTCTCCCTGGCTGTCCTTGCCCAGTCCCTCGCCCTTATTCCAGCCCATCTTCTCTAATAACTTGAAGCCTTTGTTTTCTGCTGCTATGGACCTGCCAAACAACGTAATATGAAATGTTGACTTCTGTGAAGTTGCTTTATATTTATGCTAATTGTTTTCCGCGACTTCGTCCGCGTATAAAAAAGACTTCTGAGTGCCTAGCACGAATAACTATCGCATCCGTAACGTAATAGTATCGAGCGCGTTCGGCGCTCTGATTGGCCGGCTCAAGTGAACCAACCAATCAGAACGCATAACTCGCTCGATACTGTTACGATACGAATGCGATAGTTATTCGTGCTTGGCCCTCTGGTACATTTTGGATTTTTATTTAGGTTTTTCCAGGGTTCATTCGAATGCTGTGTACCAAATTTCTGTTACGATTCTTGACTTGACACGATTCATTCTTTACTTGTGTGATTGATTTCCTATAGAACCCAGACAGTTAATATTAAAGTGGAAAATCTATTTAGAATTAAGATATTTTACAATTGGGTACTTTACTAGGTCAAAAATAAATTATTTTGTTTTTTTAATACAATTAAACATTGAAAAATACACACACTTTTCAATTCATTGATTTGCCGATGTACTTAATTTTCGATTTCTTCTAGCATTTATTTAGATAAGTTTGCTATTTGACGTGAATATATAATGACGTCATAAGATGGTATTTCGTACAACATTTTTAGAACAGTATCGTTTTTGTCGTTTCGATAAAAGTATTGAATTTGACTAGTTGTCAACTACCGTATTAGGGGTAGTTTGAGGAGTTGGTCAACCTGTGTTTTTGCCGTATTTTTGCCTTTTATTTTTAAAAAATCGTAGGTGTGCACCTACGATTTTTTAAATATTTTTCTACTTACGTATTAATATCAGTACTCTGTGTCTTCTCAGAGTGGTGTGAGGAGCCCACAGTTTCTCTCCGTGCCTGCGCCCTGTCATTGTACGCAGTCTCCTCAATAGCTAGCGGCGGTTTCGGCGCGTACTTGTTCTTTAGACGAGCCAACTCTAACTGATGCTGTTTCTGTACGCTGCATGTACGCGTGTACGCTACTTTCTTCTCTTTTTCTAGTGCTGTAGAGTAGAATTTTGTGTGAAGTGAAGAAAATGATTGTAGTTCACAAAATTAATAAATTAAGTGAATCGATTACATAAGTCGTACTCAATGGTGATTAACGATCAAACATTCATCTACGCAGGTTCGCATTTATAATACTTTTATCTATATTAGTTCTAGAGTACTCTTATAGTGGAACACTATTCTATCTACTATTGTATTAACAAAAACAGATGCCTTAGTACGAGTTTGTTTTACGTATTCGAAAATGAGTACGCGCTCTGATTGGTTGATTTTTTGGAGGCGGCCAATCAGAGCGACATCTATTTACCTTCCATAAGCAGTCCGGGCTCGCAGTGTCCACACGTGTCGTTCCCGGGATGTATGTGACACAGGAGCTTTGTTTCACCAATCTGTATAGTGCTGCCGTGGACAACCTGTGGAAGACAAACAAAATACACTGAACTCAATATTATTTCTTTGACAAAGGATATCATAAGTGGTACATTCAAATAAACTGCTAATTGAAACAGGAACTAGTTCTAAAAACTCAACATTGTAAGAATCTAGAAGTGCCCATTATGATTTCGGGATTTTTAGTTACTTACATTTATTTTTTTGTTTTAAGGGAATAATCTTATACTATTATACCTATAAAGCGGAAAAAAATTGTTTTTTTGTTTGTTTGTTTGAACGCGCTAATCTCCGTATCTACAAGTCTGATTTGAATAATTCTTTTTGTGTTGGATATTGCATTTATCGAGGATGGCTATAGGCTATAAAACATCACGCTACCAATAGGAGCTGAGCAGAGCGTGTGAAATCGCGCAGAAGTACCTAGTTGTTAGAATATATGGCTTTGCCACTTAATCGTGAGACAATAGTAATATAACCCTATGTCTCACTAGCTCCATCTCGTGAGCGCTGAAATTCTTATAATTAAGGTCAATTTAAAAAAAGGATTTCTGATTTCTTACCTCCATTGGCTCGCTTCTAACTTGACTCTCAGACATTCGAGTCCCGTTGAGGATGGTGCCGTTTTTGGAGCCGAGGTCTGTCATCTTATACAAGTTGCGGTATGGGTCGAATTTTATATCCAAATGGGTCTGGAAAAAATATAATAATTTAATAAAACTGTAAACATTCATTAGTAGTTAGAACATTCTCCTATTTTAAAAGATTTTTCATTAATATTATCGGTATTATGACATTACAACGCTGTTGTTACGGGTAGTGACTCTATAATGAAATAGTTATAATAGGCATAGGTTCTTATTGAAAATTATGTAATCGAAAACCTCAAAAATTTTTTCCAACCCAAGAATAGACAGAAGAGATAATTTTTGTACTGCTTTTATCTTTAGCGGTATAACCTTTTTTTCTTTGTTCTTTATACATATTTCAAAGTAAATTAAAGTTACTCACCCTAGACACATTATGATCTTTGAGCAGTATAATGTGTTGTTCCCCCTCCCTGCCGACGGTGCCGCCATCTTTGGTGATGATGAACAAGTTGCCGACGCGCAGCTTCGGGAGCTTCGTCTCGCGTACGATCACGCGCATACATGGAGGATGATGCTTCGCTACTGATTCTGAAAACAAAAAAAAAAATACGGTTATCTTAGAAAATGTACATATTTTTCGATATTCTATTGATTTTGATTGCCGAGAAATCTTAGAAATAAGAGATTAATCTAAAAGCCTTTAGATTGATATTAACTCTTAAATATTTAAGAGTTAGCTTAATTAAAAACAATATATTTGTTCACACTTTGTCGTCTTTGAGCAACAACATATCTGAGAGAACTTATTTGCTACGAACCCTCCTTCACCATTCAACACTTTCTTCACCTTTCCCACCTTTTTGGAATAAATATTTACTTTTACTACACAAAGTGCTGATCAGTACAAGAAAATCAACGACACATCTGCCTTGCAAAAATTACCATCATCAGTAGCTGTAGAAGTGCTAGCATTAGACTTGACGTCATCATCATTATCATCAGAACTGCTTGAACTTGTATCACTGCATTCACCATCCTCCATTTCTTCTGGTTCACCTAATTTAGTAACTGATTCTTCTATCTTCTCTTCTTTGTTTTCTTTCTCATCAGTTACTGCATAAACCTTTAATTCTACTACTTCCGGAGACGAATCATCAGTCTTTTTATCCTCAGAAGCATCTTTCTTCTTTTTCTTTAGTTGTTTCTTTCTTTTAGGGTTCTTTGTGTCGTTTTCTTCTGCTTCTTTATCCTGTAATATAACATTTGGAATGTTGGTATGGTTGTAGCCACAGATTACTTTATTTACCTAAGGCTTTTCGGCCTCGGAGTGAAACCTGAGCTAAGTTTTTCGTCAGGTTATCTATATCATCAGTTCCTCCCACCTGAAAAAAATTGTTAGTATTAGTTCAAATAATTTATTCTTATCATCAATGTATTTGAGATATGCCAAAACATTCCCAAATATTGTTTACAATAGAGAATTAAAAATTCTCATTAGTTGGACTTGGTTAGATTTCTCTCAAGCAAAATCATTTTGAAAATAAATGACATCTATTTCAGTAAAACTAGGCCAGAAAATAACACTTATACATGTTTTTGCCCAATATTTAGCATTAAAACAAAAAATATCATTTTTAATACCAATAGTGTAAAATTCACAAACCATTTTATGTTTTTTAGCCTTCTTCTTCTCATGAGCTATCAGTGCCTCATTAGTGGCGCTCCTATCAGGATACGAGTGGAACTCAAAGCACTTCTTGTCTTCCGAGTAGTAGTAGTAACATTGTGTATCTGTGTGATAATACAGGCCTAGTTCCTGAAAATTATGTACAAACAAATGATAAAACTTGATGTTCATTCTAGTTAGAAAGATCTGTGTTTATAACTATTTAAAAATTTTATGTAAAACCTACACAAAATGTAAATAATGGTAAAGAATGCGGACTTAATGACATAATAAGATTCTCTACCAGTGAACATTAGTGACAAGGAAAATAATGTCAAACATGATATATGAAATATTAACCTAATTAAGGTAAAGTCCAAAAATGCCAGATAACCTACCAGGTTACTGGGATTCAGACTCAAAGCTGGACAAAGGACAGGCGGTTTTTAGTAAAAGTCTGATAGTTTCTCTCGCCTCTCCCGAGGCGGGAGAAGCAATTGGATGATTTTCCTGCCTCAAGAAAAGGTAAAGTGATATTTTGTGTTTCATTTCAATCTCATTGTATGTATTATGTTACGTTATGTATATAACACTATCTACATAGTGAATAGTGAATTTATAATAAATAGACATACATACCGAATTATAATAATAACCAGTCTTATAATCATAATACATTCCAGCTGATTCTACATACACCATCCCGGATTCTTTCAAGGCATCCTGAGCTACTTCAGCAACTTGCTCCGCTATACTTTTTGTTTCTTTATTATCATTTAGACTCCATCCAGAATCTTTTACTTTATGTTCAGTTTCATCTATTTTTGGTGTTCTGTCAGCTTTATTGTTTATTTCTTTAGTGTTTGTCTTTTCTTCTTCAGTCTGTGTCCCAGTACTCTTGGTCTTAACTTTTTTTGTTTTATCTTTTTTGTTTTCTAATGTACCTTCATTTTTCCTTGAATATATTTCATCAGTGTTGACACCAATTTCTGGAGTAATATCTAGTTTACCAGGACCATGTGTAGCTTTTAAGTATGCTTGGTAGAAGTCAGAAGTTACCTGCACAGTAATGTGAGAGTTACATCATTAATTATATGGAATAAGAGGTTGCATTATAATAATTTATGATACAATAATATGACAACTACCAACTTAGCATTATTTAATTATTACTGAAGAAGGTAACACGATTTTACGAAGGTACGATACTAAGAGTCAAGAAACGGGGTCATTTAGCTTACTGTGTAGGGAATAAGTCATTTCTAGGTTAAAAGATTTTCTCACCATATCTTCGACACTAAGTTTGAGCCTCAATAGCTGACGATGTTTTTCTTTGATGCGGGATCTCAGCTTAAGTATTAATCTTAAAATAACCGGCCGGTATTTCAAAGCAAGACGAAGTTTCCTCAAATTGAAACGTTTTTTAGGAATATACACAGGTGCTTCATCCATTTTTTAAGATTTATAATATTCCAGGAACGACTACGATAGATAAATATCACTTCAAATCTATAATTTCTTGAAAATAATATTTATTTCATTAATTCTCGTAACTTCAGATAGATACACTCTTTTGAAAAAAATTTAGTCGTATTTTTAATTAGACGAAGTCGACTGACGTTTGCTGTGTTGTCAGTTTTTGATGAAATAAAAATAGTGTTGCGAAAAAGTGAATGATTGAAAAAGCAACTAAATGAATGAAATTGTCTCGATCGTCTAGTGAATTAATTGAAGTAGTTGAAACTACAGATGAGTAAAATATAAAAAAATTAGGTAGTTATGGATAATAAAAACAACGCTAATAACATCATTTGATTTTAATCATCATCAGATAAAAAATCATCGCTATCACTTTCGGTGACATTAATAATAAAGTTGTCTGACACATTGTCAATCATGTGGTCAAGGCCATACATTTTGTCTTCTTCTTTAATAACGTGAGACACGCAACTACTCCATTTTTCTGCTGTGATGAGTTGAAGTCCTTCTTCAAACAGTTTTTTAACTTCTGGCATTTTAAAAGTTTTGTTATTTCTTGCCACATGTCCTTTGGCCTGCGCCCATACCAACTCAATAGGGTTAAGCTCACAGTGGTATGGGGGCAGACGTAAAACCGTAATTCCATGGTGTGCTGCCATCTCGTCCACAACAAACTTTTCAGAATGTTGGTGTTTGTGCTGTCGTACAATGTCTATAAGAGTAGCTTTGATCATTGTTGCTTCGAATGCGATATTTTTGCTTGTTAGCCACTCTTGTATTCTGGATTTAGTCCAAGACATTGTAGGCAGCGATTCCAGTTTCCTGGAGTGGTACGGGCATTATCCATCACTACCACGGAATTTGGTTTGAGTTTTGGCAAGACCTCTCTGAACCACTTTTCGAAGGAATCGGCATTCATCTCTTGATGATAATCTTCTTTGTTTTTTGTGGCTTCAAATATTAATAGGCTGTCTTCTACGAACCCTTCTTCCCCGCCTATATGTCCGATAATTAAGCGTTTGCCCTTTCCTGAAGGTTGTTTTAAGCCAGTGGTCAAGCCATCGAGGAAGGCCTGGCGGGAGGTTAGCACTGTTTGGTCAATTAATTATTGAAAGTAGAGGGACCTTCTAAACACATGCCTGTAAATGTATGTACACGTTTATCTAAGTGGTTTGTCATGTTTGTTTGTAATTATTCCTAATTTATATTATTGTCACACAATCAGAATTTACAGTCTTATAAGAAACGCATGTAATCTGTGTTAAATACAGCGTCGGTAACGAATTGTAAGAACTTTTATCTGTGGCCACAAAACCTACAGAAAGTAAAATTTAAAATGAAGAAAACAAAATTGTAATTACCTTCGTTGATCCAGGTCTCATCTTGGTAATAAATATACCTTCCTTCTCTTCTATACTGTTTTATTTCTCGAAGGTATCGCTGGCGCCATAGAATAATATCCTGTCTGTCAATAAGAATGCTTTTTCTTGTCTTTGAAACGTATTTGAAATTCAAATGTTTCATAACATTTCTTAGTGTACTCCATGAAAAAGTCGGTAAATCTGGGTCTTCATTGACAACTTTAAGGATCTGTAAAGTAATAAAAATGTTTTTGAGTAAGGAAATCTATGCAATCTAATACTTTGGTTTTACAAAGAACATTATGGTGGACACAGAATATAATGCAGTAGACGGAATAAAGTTTATGTTACCTTTGCAATGGTGGGTGGCTCATTTGCATAAAAAAACTGATGAACTTTTCGCCTTATGGCAGTAAAAGTAAAATCATCTAATTTGTCTTTGAAATTGTATTTCGGTCCACGTTTCTCGGGTGATTTAAATTGTTCATTTTCTTTGTATTCTTTTAATACACTGTAAACCGAGGTCACACCAATTCCCAAATGTCAGCTGTTTTCGAAACACATTCCTGTTTTTCGGGGGTTTCAAAAGGTAATAGAGAAGCAGCTTTCTCCTCAAATACGTGTTTATACACGTTCTGTACCATGAGCTTTTCGGTAACGCTTAACGAAACCCGTGGTCTCTTCCTTCTCGGAGACAAGCTTTGACTTGACGTGCTTGGTTGAGGATCCATATTGTTTAAAGGAAACAATGAACCACAATAACCGCAAACACAACGAAACAAAAAACTTAACAAAACAACGTGAGCGCAGAAATAACAAAGTACGTGCTTTCAGACCAGAGGTTAGAAGCCGAATAACAATCAAAATGGCGACCGACGCGCGCGACGTCGATCGGTGTTGTCAGTACTCGCCGCGCCGCGCTTTACAATAAACTATCAAATATTGATACAATTTTTTAGAAAGAGAAAAATATTCATTTATGTTTTGGAATGATTAAAATTATGAACTATTCACATTCATTGTTCATTCATTTGATTGAACGAGAACTGTAGCCATCACTATTACTTTAAATATGGCCACATTATTTTACAATTTGACATTAGCCATTGTCAGTTGACTTCGTCTAATTAAAAATACGACTTATAGACAAATGTGACAAACAAAAATGACATGTCGTTGATTTTTTGACAATGACAGTAATGACATTCGTAGATTGTTAAAGATTGCTATTCACGCATATTGCAAATTGTGCTTTAGTGCTCTATTTATTTCAGGGATATTGAACCATTGGTATAGGGATGCATTCCGATGGCATGCAAGAAGTAACACAATATTTTAGAACCACCTTTTAATAAAAATTGTATGACCGCCAAGGCACTGGCGACGTCTCTGGTGTAGGTAAAGCTTCGGATACAGCTTCCCATAAGTTTTGTTGTTACGTACACCCAGTCCTTTACCATTCTGTCTGACAAAAACGGTAAGTGGCATTTTGAGTTGTACTTTATCAAACGGTACTGATGATTAGTACCATCATTGGCATTTGACCTCTTGTATTTAAGACAGAGTAGTAAACGCATTGTGTCGCGTAGATCTACGTTCCAGAAGATAATCAAATATAAATTTGCTAAATGTTATTTTACTATTGACTTTCAATTTTATTATCGAACATAATACATTAAAGTATTCCACTTGTATGTAGGTACCATTGTGCAGACGTGTGTTGATATAATAACATGATTTAGTAGTGCTGCACGCCTCAGTGCTAACACTGAGCAAATCTATAATTTATAATTAATCTTCAAATAATTATGAAGTAAAATACACAGGTAAACAAAATTAAACACATTTACTAGACCAATTTTTATTTATTTAAAATAAAAAGCTCATTAATTACATAAATTATGTGCGTTTATAATTAGAATGATTTAAAGAAAATGAAGAGTAAGCGGACATGGATAAATTGAAAGAATCAATGAAATGGTACGGCCTTATGTGGACATTTAAGTACTCCTATTACAAAACTTGAGACAAAGTAAAGACAAATGAAACCTGAATGTGGCTGGCCTATAAAATTGTATATTTAATAACACTAAAAAGATCTATAAATGCAAAACTCTAAATGAGTATACAGTAGAAAAAAATACATCCAAAGGAAAAGTTATCATTATAGCTCATTTCGTTCAAGTCCCTAAGTTTACACAATTTGTTAACCTTACAACTATGGTAATATTAGACAAGTACAAAATGATATTCCATCCTTAAAAATATCTATTCGTAGCCTATAACTAGAGTCAGTTGTATATTCATTACAATATTATGTTAATTGTAATTCTTAGTTAACACACCAGCTAATCATGATCGATTCATGCAATATAAACAGCGATTCGTTAAAATGGCGGTCCGACGGTGACGTCATCGCCTTACTCAACAGTAACCTCATATGTACTTCACACACACACGCACTACCTATAAATATAACGTGTATGGAAGATCTACGCTAAAGGCTAAAATGTTACACTTTCGATATGTTTTATTTTAAATTACATTAAATAACAACTGTGAAACAATGGCACATTTTTAGCCAAACAATTTAATTACTGTTGTTTTGGTACATTAGCAAATAAATTAGGTGTAGTTTAGTTTAGGTAATTGACAATATGTCAACTCGAAACTTCGATATTTTCACGAATATTATATTAATTCAGTTCACATAGTTTAGTAATATTCGTGTAGTAGTTAACACAAATCTCTCTCAACTGCCATTTGTAAACGATTTAAAGTTTAATACGAAACCATTCACGCATTCGATTGAACTTCGGCCTTATTCTAAGAGCTAATGTAACATCATCTACTTCAACAATAACGCTAGGTACTTTATTTTATTGTGAAGTCTCCAGTTTTATAATATAATTGAAAAATGACGTCACGTTACCCAAACCGGTAAGAACGAGCAATGTCGTGACGTGCTTACATTATAAGAAATTCGTAGTCACATTAAACTGTGCACAATTCCTTAATTCGTCGACAACGGGTTACTCCGCTAACTAATTTATAAATGCATCTCATTAGAAGAGCGTACATGCTGTCTAAGTATTTAATATATGACAGCGCGCTAGTTAGAAATAAATAAATCGTAGAAAATAACTGCCGGTGCTCGCGTCGACTAGTTAAACGATATCGCAGTATTTTAATAAATCGAAAGTACTTCGTAAATAATTAGTTTACTATATTGACGGGATTGATACGCCCCCAGTTATGTCATCAACTTGTCATTATTTAAGATCGAAGTTAAATGGCGGACATGAGAGGGGGGCGTTGTGGGTGAATTTAGGGGGGTACGTAGGGGGGTGGCTTTCTGTAGGTGGGGGTGGCCTTAGGGCGTGCGGGTTGAGGTGTACGGGCCGCCGCGAACGGGGGCGGCGGGCGGTAGGGCGCGTCGTCCGAGGCGCGGTAGTCGGGGGCCGGGGGCAGCAGCGGGGGCTTCTCATCGCGCATGATGACGGGGCTCTTGTGCGCCGCCTCGGCCTCGCCTCGCTCCTCCAGCTCGTCCTGGAATATCACCGGGATCCCCTTCGACCGGAACGCCTGCCTCTCTTCTTCGTCACCCACGCTCATTTTACCTGCAAAAACATACAGTTAGCCTTGTACTAAGTCTAATACAACACTAAAAGCGAGCTTTACTGTTAATGCTTCCCGTGCTTGCTTTATCCTCGTTTATAGCCGATCTTATACTTGTGCAATGCTTTTGTGATATATTTTTGAATACATATTCGATGGTGGCGCCCCCAAAGGTTACTGACGCACCAAACTATTTTTCGATGTGAATTTTAGACATAATACTTGTATAGCAATGAACTTTCAAGCATTTATCTTGTCGGGTGTATTATAGCGTAGCTAAGCGATATAGTGTGATTACATTGTTCGATATAACTCAGCGCTAATTTTGACGATTAATGTAACTCCAATACGTGAAAAGCAATAAGTAGTACTCAAAAATAATGTGGAACACTAAAATGCTTTATCGTTTTAAATCACCTTATTATTCAAGCATTGTCACCTCCTACAGAATTAAACTAAACATTAGTTTACCCTTATACAAATTCAGTAATATACACTTTATGACCATTTAGGACACGCATCACGATTTCTAAACAGTAAGACTAGAACACATAACGTATTTTAATTCAGTGCTTGCCCATCCTAAACAGTCTAGTAATAAAAATAATAAAAGTTCTTTACCTGTCCTCCGCCGCCGATACAGCACACACGCGATGATCGCAGCCAACAGAATCATACACACTATCACAATGGCCGGGATGATGAAAGTCACCAAATAATTTGGATCAGCTGCGTTGCTAGCCTTATTGTTCTGCGAGTTGGATGATCCAAACCCAGGCACATGTATTGAAGTCTTAAGTATCTTAGTATTCTGTTCAGCGCATAATCCAAGAGGTATAAGCCTTATAGACATGACTTTAAAGTCCTTATCGAACACATGATCAACGTTTTCTTTGAGGGCACCCCCCATTGAGCCTCTCTCGTCTACTATGATCATTTTGCGTAGTTCCTCGATCTCCTTTTTAGGGCATCGGTCCATTGGTAGACTTGTGTTATACCTGGAAGACAAAGAAGTTTGTGTTTATGCCTTGAACATATACACACTATACACATACGTACACATGCGTATGAATATTTTATATTCATCAGCCAATGTTTCTTTTATCACTGTTAGAAGAACTTCACTTTTAGCAAAACGTCTTTGGAACGTCACAATAAGAGTTGGAGATAAAGAGAGAGAAAGTAAAAAGAGAATGAAATAAAGTTACTTACCAAATGATAGTAGTAGGATTATTGGTGATGCTCTGTATCCTGATATTATCGGTCTCCTTCTGTCCAAACAGTGCAGCCAGTTTCTCAACCACTTTGCGCTTGTTATTGGCATCGTACGCCAGCATGGGGAATGGATACTCCATGGTCATCTGGAACTCCACCGTCGGTCTGATGGTGGGTGCCTTCGCTACTTCTACTATCAAACTGTCGTAAGCGCTCTTTTTGCTTGAGTCTTCCGCTATCTGTAATTGATAGAAATATTTTTTTTTATGGTTTGTCAAAAATTTTCGAAGTATAATACGGTTTTATAAGCTCTGTAATGTCATAGAAATCAATGGACGATAAAACCAAATTAAAGGCATGTTCGAAATCTTATATTGGAAAATCGCCAATCATATGGTATTCGTAAGTTTTTGATCTTAGAAAATGATGAATTTCAAGGTATTCAAGAGCCATTATCCACCAGTATACTCCTAGAGTAGAACAAAGTCGTGTAGTGGTATTCAGATTTATATAATGTTTAAAACCTGCTCCCTTTTTTTGAAGTTGGTTACAAATGGAAATGTTATATTGTACTCACCAGTTGGTAAGACACACTGCCCTCGTCACTAGGTGCAGGTAATCCGTAGAACTCCTGGTTCTTGGCATCGAACTGCAACCAGTGCCCTGCAGGCAGCTCGGTCCGGTCGCTGTACCGGAGGGATAGAGACAGGCTGCGAGTGTCACCGTCTTCAGGGTCGAAGAACGTGTCCTGAAGATTTAAGAATGTTTTTTGGTATTACTTTTGGATATAATTTTAAGTATTTATGGGTTCTTTTGTATGGAAAAGAAGTTTTAAATTGGTTAAGATATTTTTTAAAAATGTTTTTGTGTAGCAAAAAAATTACGATCGAGATACGAAAATGTTACGATGAAATGAAATTACTTAATTTGGTAATTGGTTAAAGATGGTTTAATATTTTTAGAACAAACTTTTATAAATGTAACTATTATTGAGATAACAAATGTGATAGAAGAAACTGATTGAACTTGAATTTTCTTAAATTCTTATATAAATTATTGATTGGTGTATAATATTTAATTTGAACAAGTATGTTACCTCGGGCACTTTATATACGAGCAGATGTCCGACGGTGGCGGTGAGATGGTCGACCTGGTTGCGAGTGACGGGCGGGTATGTGTCGGGTGCGCGCGTGGCGGGCGCGGCGCGCGCGCAGGGCCCGGCGCCGCGCCACTTGACGCCGCCCACTTTGAGCTCGGGCTGCATCGCACGCGCTAGGCTGGCTGAAGGATTACCTGCTTCGGTAGGCGACTCCATTATCTGAACATAGTAAAAAAATACGCCGGTGTCACTTAACAATGAAATAATCACAAAGAATAATAATATCATTTTTTCATTAAGAATTATACAAACGTAATGAAGCTGCTATTAGATACAGGCGTTTTTTACTCTTCCACACATAAAATAAATTGTGAAATATGACACACAAATAGATAATACGTAATCAACTTTTGACCTTGATCACACAGATTGTCAGTAGACACATTTTTATACTCAAAAAACATATTTTTAAATTTTGTATACCAAAATTTCTAACATTAACATTAAACTTACCTTCATCAACCTATTAATATCATCCATAGGACAGGCAGGATCCTTAGGCAGTGTATCATTAGTCCACACAAATTCACACAGGTCACCATTCTGCGTAGTGTTAAGTACAGTCAAGTGATCCATATCAGTATCCCTGAACAGGTTAACAATGCCCTCTAGCGCTCTGATTTGCCAATCAATGGCGTTGTTATATTCCTTGAGAAGTTTAAATTCTAGAATGAACTGGTGGTTAATGGTGCGGCCACTCTTGTGTTGTTGTACTGTGATGTCGAGGGGCCCGCGAGCTACCAGTCCTTCGCTGTCCTGAGCTTCTACTATGAAGTTCCAGCGAGATACGTGGGCTTCTAACGGTCTGTAAATAGAAGTTTAGACGATTTATGACTCAATTTCGTAGTAGAAAGGGCGGAAATTCTTTGTAAAGCTAGCTAAAGCTACCTCAAACAGATTTTCAACCTGTTGTTACTGTCAATAAAACTCAAAATGTCTCTACATTCTTGATGCTTTGATTGAATAGCAGGTTCTGTATATACTTACAATCCATAAACTTCTCTGGCGGCGGGAATGAACTGTATCCAGGAGTTGTTGCTGAGCGGCACGTTCTCTGCCTCGTACATCGTGAACGTCAGGTTGCTGCCCTCCTCCGGATCCGTGAACAGATCCGCTGGGATTATGTACCTGTATAAATATAATGTTATTGTACATGTATTTTACCATTGTGGAACGACGATAGTCAACAGATTGTAGGCCACAAAGGCATGGATAAGAATAAGGTATGTCTGAAAATCGGTACGGTTTTTTAAGAGCTGTTTTAACCTAAGGAGGGGGCAAATTTCCTGTGACACGTGTCGCCAGCGACGTCGGGTGAAATAGCGCGACGTTTTCAGACTTTGGTCAACATTAACATCACTGTTGTCGCCGTATATGTATGTCGAGCAAAATTGGCCGGCTTCATTTGATATGACGATACATGTTTTGGGACATTCGTCCCCTAGTCAAGAATACTTGGCTTTAGGGACTATATTTATATTTGACAGAGATTCATAAACTTAGACTTTTTAACCTACGCGATCTCTAACCCGTCAGCAGCATATAAATTATAACAAAGGAGGTTTTAAGTAAAGGAGGCCTATAGAACATTATGATGAAGTTTTAAAATGATATCATACCTGAAGGCCTTGCCAGCGGTGATGGCGAGTTTCTTCATGTGGTGTTTGAGCGTGGGCGGCTGGTTGACAGGCATGGCCCATGTCACTGTCTCTGTTGTCTGACCGATTATTGTACTTCTACCCTCTGTTGGGTTCGTTTCCTGTGTCATTCAAAAATGGATGAATATACAATTATATTGGATTTTGGGTGTTTAATTAAAGTAATGTAATTTTACACTTCAGTTTTTGTTGATTTCTTTTCTCAGATGACGTGGATGGTCTAACCATAAAACTGTTTATTCAAAATATAATACAAATATGTGCAAAAGAAATATGTTTACTGTTATGTAGTGCACTTACGATAGTTTTTGAAAACAGAGATAGGCAATAATTTACATTTATTAAAAATATAATAAGAAACGGTCCCACCCGTAATATACAATAGAGAAGAGATAGCAAGAATTTACAACACAACTAACATTTTTAAAATTGTTTGCCAATTAATAATTATAATTCAGAAAGTTTGCTGTTAATTTATTAATTTAGAAATTGTTAATAATTATAATTAAAATTATTCCCATTGATGACCAATCACAAACACGTTCGCACACACGATTCATATTAGTATTGATGTACTAGGAAACTAAAACACCTGGTTTTGATACTTGATGTGATGATATAGGACGCTACGTGGCTTTAGTATGGTACTTACATCTACGCACGGAGCATGGCGTTGGGTACCGGGACCATATTTCCAATGTGAATATCTTATGAGTATCTAGTAGGTAAAATTCGATTTGTGATGTTTTTACTTAGAGCACATTGAACTTCGCATGTAAAACAGTCTTCAGACCGGAAATATGTCCCGGTTGGATGTGCAATCCCACTACGGACCTGTTTAGTAACCTCCTGTACAGTCGTCTCTGGTGCTTGTGTCGTGGTTGGAGGCGGTGGAGGTGGTGGTGCCATCGTCGTCGTTGATGAAGTAGTTGTAGGCGCTGGACTTGTAGTAGTCGGTGTAGTCGGAGTAGTCGAAGGCGTAGTCGTCGGTCTCGGCGTAGTAGTCAGTTCAAAGTACGGCGTAGTCGGTGACGGTAACTCCGGCAATGGAGACGGCGACGGTGACGATGACGTCACATTATCCCTTTCCGTTGATGACGACATCGGTGGTAGTTCGTTCGACTCGCGTATTATAACCGTTTGCTGAAAGTGCCATGCGGACGCTCACACGATGTGTTGTGATACAGACGTTAAGACAACGTTATAAAGTCCAGATTCGTATGTACAGAAATTTGAAAAGTATTTACAAGGAATTAGTCCTAGAAAGATAGATGAAGTCCCAAGCTTCCCTTATGATTTTACAACATTATACATACGACCCACCGAATAATTTACCGTTGTCTACGCGTCCAAGATTAGTTGAGAACATATTTACATACAAAGTTACTCTAGATGGGGAATGAATTACGTGAATCCCTCAAATACCCGATGTTAAGAAAATCAAACTCGCACACAAATTAGTTCCAAATTTTACAGGAGTGAGGTTAAAGAAAATGAGACCTTATATGTGTAACAATACATACCAATTCTGGTTCTAGGGTGGTGGTTTCTTGAACGACGACTGGAGCTAAGGTGTCGAATCGTCGGGGGCTTATAGGTAGTGTTGGTGCCACCGACATGTTAACGTTGCTTGTTTCCGACGGTGAAGCCGACAGTGCGGTGATCCCCACTTCATTGTGCTGCGGAAATATATGACTTTAGTTCTTTCTGTTAAGGTTCAATGTTCTGTGAAGTGTACAGGTGTAACAATGTGCTGTTAGTCACTGTCTGTTTGTGACTTGGATTGTTAAACGCCTACTATGAAAGTATTTCTTGTGGCAAAGTTATTTTTTTGGTATATTCAGAAGTGATTGTGTATTTCTTGTAAAGTTTTAAGTAGAGTAACTTCTTTAGTCGTTGTTATGGCTATTTCATAGTAGGCGGCCCGTATTTTGTCTCTAATAATTAATTAGTCAAAAAGGGAGTGTTTGTTAAGGTACAAAAGATATCTAGTATCAATATTATCACAGTCATGCTCAGTGTTTACAAACACAGTCTAATTTCTACTACAAATGCACTAGAGTTCATATTGCATTGACAATAAATTGACAAAATATAAAAGTAAACATTCCAAAATAATCTAGAACATATTCTATACACATATAGATGTAAAACTAGACGCATTCACGTTAGACTAGCTGCAATACTGGGTATCATAAAATATGTACAGGATACATTTCAAGACCTTATTAATCTAAGTAGACAACTAGACATACAGTAAAAATATACCTGTTTCGGATTAGCATCAGCCTGTTTGAAGGATCTAGCTTGCACAACTGTTTTAAGACCATTACGAGTATGTTAATTCAATTTATATGGTCGCCTTTAGTTGTATTAGTTAGAGTTCAAAAAGACTTTGCGAGTCAAAATTGTTAGTAAATTAACTTATCTAAAAACACATTCATAAACTACATTTCTAATTGCAATCGTAGCATGCGACCGGGCCACAACACGCACATGCATGACACGTAAACTCGAGAGCGGGTTACGACAAACCTCTGTGGTATACGAATTAGTTGTGGGCTCAGGAGTGGTTTCTTCGCGGGCTTCTTCTGTGGTACTTGGTAGGGCACTCGTTGGGGGAAGTGTGGGGGGATTCGTTGTAGGGGGTGGGGAGGGGGACGGTGATGGTGATGGCGGTAAGGGGGAGAGAGGGGGCAGTGTGGCAGGGGTCGGCAGCGGAGCGGCGCTCTCGGTCTGAAACGTGTCGGTGCTTGTGTGTGGCGCGCCGGGGGCCGGGGGGAGCTCCCCGTGGTGGTGGCGGTGCGGGTGCGGCCCGGGGGAGGGGGCGGGGGTCGGCGCCGGGCCGGGGGGAGGGGGAGCCACCTGCGGCACAGCCGCGACACACACGCACGTTAGTACTGCCTCCCTTACACGTACCCAAGAGCGCTGTCTGTGGTTATTCCACATGGACTCAGATATTAAAGCGGCATCAGCGTCAACTTTCAACCCCTTCACAAAGGTACTAGCTACACGATGAGGAAACAACATTGTTAGTTCCGACTGGTACTCCAATGACACCAATATAGGTCCAATTTCACCAAGATAAGCTGGTTTCGCAGTCCTCTACAATCGATCCTAGATTCAGTTAGTCTAGATCAACCATTTTAATGCAACACTATAGGTTTTATTGAAATTAAACATGAATTAGGTGCAAATTCAGTGCAAGTTTCATTGTTATTGCATTGCTGAATGTTATTGAATTATGCAGTTTTATAGTGATTAAGTGTAAAATATCCGTGTGAAATAGCGATACAGTGCATTTGAATTTGAACACTATTGATCGCTTTTATAAGTGTAAAATTGATTGTAGTTGTTTGACCACGCCCTTAATGTTCTTAGTCCATGCGTTCACTCGCTTTAGCTTTATTTATGCTCCAGTTAGTCTGTTTATGTACAGTGATAAGCATTTATGTAAAGCGTTGTTATAACCACACACAAAGCTCAAAATTGTTTTTAGGTATAATTATTAGATAAACTTAATTAACAAATTATGTTTAAAGTCGTCGTAAGTGAAGTGGATGTCAAATGAATGTTAGGATTGAATGTAAATTATAAAGGGTTCATTTGGATGTAACATGTATGAGTGATGTTGATTCTCTTGTGAACTTTAATTTGGATTGTCGCTCTTACAAATCTATACGGATAAGAATGGACTGCGTAACGTACATGAATATTTTTATGGTGTACAATAGAGAGGTTTGTATTGTATTTTATTATAAGAAAATGTAGGATTATACATATACAAAGTAAAAAAGCATATTTCTGCCACAGTTTGAATCCAAATGTTAGAGAACATTTTAAGTGCTTGTTGTAAATAGCTTCATATGCTTAACAAATTTTTTCATAATGTCAGTCTTTGCCAATATTTGAAAAATACTAAAAAAATAAAACAAGTCCGTGGTTGGAAATTTTAAAAAGATGTCCATTTCTATGTAGCTTCTTAAACGAAAAGGGCGACATTTAAAACCAAACTCTAAGTTCTGTACAAGAGAGTGAACTTCAGTTTAACATAAAATAACCGGGTAGGGTTAAATAATAACGTATTTTTCTTTATATTAACCAAGTGATTACATGATACTTCATTCAACATTCCATGCTGTGGTTCTTACGAGTCGCTATATAATGTGGTGACAGAAAAGTGCAACATATGCATTCCGGAGATAATATATGGGATGACTAAATTATTCATTGGGAAATACGAACCTTTTCACAAGTATTTATTTAACTTGCAATATGAAAATTATATTTATTATATTACTAGTTTCTTCCACGACGTCGTGTCGGTCGTATCTGTCGTGTCGGTCGCATCTGTCGTGTCGGTCGCATCTGTCGTGTCGGTCGCATCTGTCGTGTCGGTCGTATCTGTCGTGTCTGTCGTATCTGTCGTGTCTGTCGCATCAGTCGTGTCGGTCGTATCAGTCGTGTCGGTCGTATCAGTCGTGTCGGTCGTATCTGTCGTGTCTGTCGCATCAGTCGTGTCGGTCGTATCTGTCGTGTCTGTCGCATCAGTCGTGTCGGTCGTATCTGTCGTGTATGTCGCATCAGTCGTGTAGGTCGTATCTGTCGTGTCGGTCGCATCAGTCGTGTAGGTCGTGTCTGTGGTGTCGGTCGTCGTATCTGTCGTGTCTGTCGCATTTGTCGTGTCGGTCGTATCTGTCGTGTCGGTCGCATATGTCGTGTCGGTCGTATCTGTCATGTCGGTCGCATCTGTCGTGTCGGTCGTATCTGTCGTGTCGGTCGCAGCAGTCGTGTCTGTCGCATTTGTCGTGTCGGTCGCATTTGTCGTGTCGGTCGCAACTGTCGTGTCAGTCGCATCTGTCGTGTCGGTCGCATCGGTCGTGTCGGTCGCATTTGTCGTATATGTCGTGTCTGTCGCATATGTCGTGTCGGTCGTATCTGTCGTGTCGGCCGTTTTGCCGTTTCACCTTTGACCGTCTCTAGACTTCCATGAAAATTTTAATATTAAAATTAGCCGACTCGGTTCAGCCGTTCTTGAGTTTTAGCCAGACTAACGAACCGAAGTCCATTTTTATTTATATACATAGGTATTGTAATTGAACGCGTGTGAAGTGGAATCCTTCACCAATTTTTTAAATTGTTTTTTAAGTGTAACACATGTTTAAAACTTCTTGCAATCTGAATTATATTATAAGGTAACTGTTAAGGGAAATTGTGATAATCAAACCTGTTTTTATAGGTATTCATTAGTTTTTTTTAATTTGACACTCATTTCAACGATAGTAATGGGTCTAATATAACATCATGACTCATGTCCTATTTAAAATATCATCATTATTCATCTGAAGATTCAATTTAATTAGACACGACTTCTTATGTATTCGTTTAGTAATTAGTATTTTTATTGCCAACAAAACGTTTTATGTATTTATTTAGTATTCTTATTGGTTCGCTAATTCTGGTTTAAATACTACATCATGTATTTACTACACGTGTCACAGTAATCCTTTGTGTACACTTCTACGCATAATTTAAACAAAACATTCTATTCTTTATAGCTGTATTTCCCAACGAATAAAAACGAATGATGCATAAAGTACTAAGAAATAGAATGTATGACAGTCCCACACTAGAATAAAATATGACTTGCATTGATTAAATAATGATTCATCTGTATGAAGAGAATTAAACTCTTATGAAAATGTTAGAAGATGTTTTATGAGGTGTTAAATGGGAATTAAAACCTTCACCCAATAAAATAAATACCATTTTCCAGTAATCAGAACGGAATAATCCATTTCCGCCGAAGCCATTATTATTATTATTTGTTCTAGAATCTAAGTATAACCCATTCAATTTAAATAGACATCAATAAAACATCGATCATACTTCGTGGTTTGTCTATAACATATTGCCTGTATCTTTTACAGGATTAGCAAAGATACAACGCTGTCATAGGTATACTGTCATAGTTATAGATATATAGACGACGATCACAACAGTTATAGTTAGGAATAAACTCATGACAATGTCACTGTATGAACTCCAACATTAATTTGTGGTTACAAAATATCTTTGCAATGAACCCTTTCAAATATTTACTCATATAGATTCTTTATTTACTTTGCAATATGGACCATTTTTGTTTGGCACATTTTCATCTACAATGTATTCTAAAATCTACTTTATGCCGCTATTTTCTTAGCTATACGGTGGATTTTTACACCACACCGTTTCATCAAAACAGAGAATGACAATTCAAAATCAACTTAACAGCAGCACACTTGATGTGTACATTCCAATACAGTGACATTGTCTGTAGTCTCCCAAGTATAATATGGCAGAGTGACAGTGAGTTGGCGTACTGACCAGGTCTGTGATGCCGACATCGTTGTTGGCGTATCCGTCCTCGTCATCGTTATCGTCGTATCCGCTGTAGTCGGCGTCAGCGTCCGCGTCGTCGTCCTCGCCGTCGTATTCCGCGTCGTAGATGCCGCCGCCGCCTGAACCGTCCAGCTGGGGAAATTCATTATACGTTTTGATGAAACATATGTATATGTCGTTACTACTCGGGTACACAGAGACAATGAAACGCTAAATAATACGCTTCTGGCATATCTCTTTCACTTTATCTACCTTTATCACTACCTTCATGCATGCTTGTCGATTTAGGGTGCTTTTAATTTTTAAACAAAGCTAAGGGCGACCTGTACATACTTTTCTTTTAGCTTCTATCACAGTCAAGCACCTGTTTATGCAAGCACTACATTATTTTTGGTGGTATAACACTTTATATTTAGAGATAAGACAACATTGTATCGACTTAAGAGTTGATTTTAAAACGCTTATTGCTAAAGTAATAGAGCTGAGAATAGTAACTTTATTGTAGGTACACAAGAGGAGAGATTTTAGTTAGAAACTCAATCAAGTTCCTTTGACTTAAAAGTTATACCATTTATTACCTGTCGCTTAATCCTGGGTGTAGGCTGAATGGACTGCAGCCTCCAGCCAATGACAGGCAGTCTCAGGACATGCGCCAGAGTGCCGTCCCGAGCCTGTTCCCGCAGGCCCGCTACTAACACTTTATGGTGATTCCATAACTTTTGGCCGCAACCCACCTGTAAAGAATCAAATAATGATTAAAAAATAATTCATATTTAAGGTAAAGATGAAAATAGTTTTAAAACAAATATGTGAAATAATATTTTGTAGTGATTTATTTACTTATTACAGTATTAACAACACATATATGCCTACATTGGATATTTGATACCAGTTTGTTTATGATATCTCGTCATTGGTTCTTTTATTCCGAAATAGACGAACTAAATGTATGTTTTGCAAAACGGACAAGTAGCCAATATTTTTAATTAAACTTCTAGACGAACCCTAAAAAGAGTATTACACAACTACCCTATTGTTGAAAAAAATAATGAGTTTATAGTCCCCAAGACTACGGTAAATAGACTCATTAATAATAATTATCAAATACATTGTTTTATAGTTCTAATTGACTTACATTAAGATAGATGGCAGTGGTGGCGTCCCCGAGTCGGCGTTGAGAGGAACCAGTGCCACTCATGATGGTATCAGCGTGAGCTTCCGCCTTGTATGGCTCCATCCAGAACTCATCCTGGAAATGATAGAAGTACGTTTTAAACTAGTAGTTTTATAATAATTGCTTTGTATGGGGCTTCTTCAAACTTCGTGAGATCCAAAGCACCCACGTAAGTAGGAATGTATGTACCTAAATCATGTTAAAAGTTAATTTTGCTATGATGGAATACAGTGTACTACACTGTATTCCATCATACATACATGGACCAACTTACCCCATCAAGCGCCATGAAGCTAGCGAGCTGCATGAGCGCTCGTATCCTCTGGCGTGGCGCCACCTTGTGGAAGGAGCCGTCAACCATGATGACCAGCACCAGTCGGCTCTCCTCACCCACACACGACCCATACTTCGAGTGAGGTCTGTCTTGAGCTTTCTTCACCTATAATTGTGATAATATAATGGATTAAGTTTTTAAATATTTTGCGCTTTATATCTTAGATGTCTCTAAGATATAGTAGTAGTATAATGGTAGTTCTTTTTTTAATAATAAAAGAGGAAGAGGAGATGTCGGGATGACCTCAACACCTATCAAAGGGATTGGTTGTGACCAATCCCTTTGATAGGTGTCGCAAGCTCTACGAAGAGACGAGTGGAAGAAGGGTAGGGAGGCCTTTGACCTGTAGTGTGACGACCATCATGGCCAAAAAAGAGGAAAAAGTATATAAAGAAGCACAAATTGAACCATAACAACTGACGGTAAATCCTAAAGATTTTTATACGTAGGTTTATAATAGAAACACATAGAATATCGATTACCTACATAGTGACATTGACGTAGTATAAAAAATGTAAACGATGCCTAAAAATATTGAAATAGCAGGAAATAGCTCTTAGAAAATGACTCGATATGGAGGTCGACAATTCTCAAGAGGAAAAGTAAATAGAGACAAACTGCGGATAAACTTTTATAAAAAGTAACATTTCGTGAAGTGTTCTCTTTTCACAGATAATAAAAGCCATCAGAGTAGGCGGAATACTGCGAAGTGTACCGCAATTTTTCCTTAAAAATATAACCCCTATATCAAAGGCAGTCTGTAAATATTCCATCGCGAAAATTAATTAAATTATGCCCACATCCAAATGAACAGACATTCAAATAAACTTTACGGAGCCAATCTTCAGTCTAATATCACGTAAATGACAAAAAATGAGAATACAATTTCCGCCTAATCATTACCATGACAGTTCAAAACGAAAATGGCGGGCTTTTAGAAAAATGTTGCCATATTGAAATAAAAATTCATTTATTAGACACCGCACCCTCGTTGGCTAATGTAATGTCAATAATATAATTGAATGGCCGTATAAACAAGCCAACTGTCGCAAAATTATATTTAGATACATGAGGAGAATATACATGTAATATGTAGTTAAGTAACAAGCACTTTAATTTTATGGGTGTAGTGTCGCCAATGAATAAAATGATTGATTTATGTTTTACAATTCACAACGGTACCTATTCTCATGTGTTAAAGTCCATTTTATGATGAGTGACCATGTCTGTGCATATTTTAATAGTAATAGTAACTAGGTATACTATTAAATAGACTATCGTCTAATCAACGGGTGGTTGTTTCATAAAACTATCAATTACACAATCACGATATATCTTTGTAATTGTCGGCTGTTACATTTCAGTTGTATGACGAACTATCATTAACTAAATGTGACGTCATTAGATACATAATACATGGTTAGAGCACGTATAACGTACGGACATTTTTGAGCGTAGTAGCATAGAATAAGTAGTAGTGATTATTCACTTCGGTAGTAAGGAAGCGGGAGGTGTGTATCAGTGACGTCACCTTTACGCGACAGGAACACTAAGTCCACAGGACGTGTGTGTTCCTCTGACGTCATCGACTATTATGCTAACATAGTGTAACCGGGCGACTGACCGTTACGAACTTACAATACTTCCTAGTTCCTCTGTTTTAGAACTCTCAAAAGCTGAATTTATACTGTCATTTTAGTTATAAACTATTTTTGAAATTTTATATCAATAACAGCAATGAGACGTCTCTCGTCATTCGATTTCAGAAGTAATAGAGTAGAAAGCGAAATGGGGTGGAATTTAGCCCTTCTGGGAATGAAAGCCATGATGGTACACCGGCCTATTGTTGAAGGATGATCTCCAGAACGAAACAACAACGAATTTCTAGTTTATTTGTTACCCGGTCTTTATATTTCTCGCATAAATATGACTCACGATGTTAAATATGAAATGTAAACAAACCTCGATAGTAAAAGAGTCGGTGGCAGTAAGTCCGCGCGTGTTTCCGTGCGCGGTGACGGTGAACGTGTGCGTGCCTAAGTCCTGCTTTTGGGGCACGCCGCTGATCAGACCGTGCCTCGAGTCCACGGCCAGCCAACTAGGCATGCGTCGACCATCTTCGCTTCGTACCTGGTTAAAAAAACTTATGAAATAAAGTGACTATAAAGAGTCGAAATATAGGTACTACGAGCGCTGGTATATTTTTGCAAATCCATGCATTCATTATTCAAGTACTTAATCAAAGAAATTGTTGCGTTTCTCAACACAGCTTTGTGTATATTGCTATTCCATTTTAAGTTATCTACAGCACAAGGCCCAGTTTTCCTTTACGTCGTGAGATTGCAGACTCTTGCGTTCAGCCGAGCGAATGGAAGCTAAGTGCATCCACATCCACACGTCTTGTTTTATACGACTTTTTAACGCCAGGGCCTCTAGCCAAAAGCCACTTTAGCGCTTGTCTACAGTGAGAGTAGAAATCAAAATGTATGGGGATGACACTGACAAGTGTCAAAATTTACGTCAATTCCATATAATTTGGTTTTCTACTCTACATGTAGACAAGCGCTAAATGGCATTTGGCTAGCACTGCAGGACCGTAAGAGAACGTTTATTTTTAGAGCGGATTTCTTTACAGAACTTAGGCTTAAGTTAAGCTCAGTTATCTTTCTAAAGAGCATATTGATTTTATTGTTACCCAAAACAATTTAAGCTAAGAATAAACAGATAAAATGTATTCAAATACCTTATACGCTACTACTTTTCCTGAAAAAGCTTCCTTTGGAATTTCCATTCGGAACAGATGTCCCACATAGGCCGATGTGTCGGGCACGCCCCATAACCTTCTTAGGCCATTTTTTGCGATTTCAGAATGGTTAGCTGTTAATTCAACCTGAAAGGTTAACCATAAAACGTTACGCTTCTATTGTTTAATCAGTAAATATATGAGTTCTCTAAATACAAATAGTCGCATGCGTGACATAATTTATGATTAATATTCTGATATAATAGGTGGAAATCCTGTTGGTTTATTAGGAAGTGTTATTTTGTTGGGTATAAGAGGGTACTGACCAGAAATTCTTCGCTGTTGTCGAATGCGAAGTCGTCATCGTGCCTTGTGAGCGCGAGAGGACACAGCATGAGCAGAGCGCACGCGATGTACCGCGCCCGCCCCATCTCGCCTCCCCAACACTACCACACTCATAAACACATCTTGATTATCTGCGGACAATAACATATAATACTTTAGTAAGCTGTACAATCACACCTGTTAGTGTTTGTAAACAATATTCATTGTAAATCAATTATCGTATACTACTATACTACTACTGGTACCACTATTAGTTCAGCGCGATGCACGTGAAGACAGGTGCACTTCATTTTTAGAATAATTATACTGGATAAGAACCTAGAGGATATTTTTTTGGCTATTTGTCTATAATGCATATGGATAATCATAATCATATATCTTAAGTCGCAATCATGTTATGGCTCGCACTATGTCAAACCAATTTAAATACGGCAATTTTTTAAACACCTTTATAGGAACTTAAAGTGGCCGAGGGGCCGGTCAAAGATATTAAAGAGCCTTTTGTCTGACATGCAGTGACACTTGTAACATAAAGATTTCAAAAGGGTGTAGGCAGCACTGCTTTCAAGGCTTTGTGTTTCAATGTCATCTCACATCCATACAATGGAAGCAAGTTGCTTACTAAAATGAAATATTCCTAACACATGTTAAACAAAGATGTGCATTTTAATTTAGACATTGTTTAGCCGGTGAGATGCTGCGTTTAAATATAGACAAATTTTCGTTAAATATCGTGTACAAATGACTTGGTAATAAAGAAGAAAGAGAAGGGAGGGCAAACGGAAACGACTCGGGTACTGTTACACAGTTAAAGGCGCGTGTTGGCGCATAATGATTGGACACAAATAGAATGAGCTTTTGAACGCTCCCCGCCTTTCTTAGCATGCTGTCGCGAAACCACTTCAGGGAATACTTTTATATCCCTTTTAGAATAATGTAGCCTTTACTTTACAACCACTCGAGACGAGAGTCAATATTGTAAGAGCAACATTTAATTCCAAATATACTTTAATGAGTTCCAGTTAATTGTGTGGCTATTTAAGGAGAAGTAGACAGACGATCCGGCTCCGTGAAAACTTGAGAGACAACAAAGCTTAGGCGTGGTCGTTAGTTCACGAGACGCAGTAATCTGGAAGGCGAATACTAATGTACACAGAAATCCCACAGGGACAAGCCTAAATGATGTAGGTACGGTTTAGTTTCAGGCTCACAAAATAATGAAAGGTACAGTAGAGAATTCAATGATAATTTAGGAAATAAGTCTACACATTTTTTATGGAAACGTAAACAAGCTCGTTAAAAATGATTTATGACGATTCCTTAAATTCTGGACATAACTCGACCACTCCAATTATTCTCAAGAAGAGCACGCGACGCGAAAACATTTCGGATGGGACGTGCTCAGCGATAAACGGTTGAGTAAGAGTTGTATTTCGTTTTATTAACGTGTTTTTATACGTTTTGTTTAAATTAAAGAATTTGAAGCGTAAGTGATGCCTATAACTATAGTGTTCGTTCTAGTAAATTCGCCATGTATTGGTTTATCGATATCGAAAGACACAGTTGCAGCACGGAGCTTGTATTCGACACCGTGTTTGGCCATAAACTATAACAGCCCCCTAACACATGAGCTTAATAAAATAAATTGTGAAAAATGACTGTATAACATAATATACCTCTGCCTATCACTCAGAGGGAAAAACGAGCACGCTGTTAGTTTTAGCTACATCGGCCTCGTACGAAGTTTGTGAATGATAAATATTTTTTACGTTAATCTGGGCGAGGGGGAAAAATTCTGCGGTCGTTGTGCGGATACAGGGGCGGTCAATCGATTTCGATCGGTTAGTTTTTTATAAAGCACACTATAGAGATGAGAGCATACGGGTGGATGTTGATAGAAATGATTCCATGACCGTATCATAATATCAGGACAGGAATTCTGCTAGTGGACCCCTGTTATTTGGAGCGAGTTTCTGTCATCTATTTACAATAATTCAGGACTTATTGCTACGCATCAAAAGTACTTGCAAAAATCTAAAACACGTTTGGCCATACGGGAAACGGACCTCTTACTCTACGGTTGCATTTTCGACCAAATGACCACCGAGGCAGTGACATATGAGGCGTTTCATTCAATATGATCCATTAAAACCAATGTCAAATATATTAGCATCTGTATCTGATACCTTGTACAAAAATATGCTTCAAAGAATCGAAGAATTGCCGGTCGATGACAACATTGCATCGGAATTATTAATGATATATTCGAAGAAGGACACGCGTCCTGCAATTATTCGATTAGAATGCAACTGTTTGTAATTTTTATTATATTTGTCCGTGGATCTCTGGCAAAAAAAGTATGTAGTTTTTCCAAGGATTTGTGGATTATCTTATTTGTGGCAAAATTCATTACATCATCAGCCTGAAGACGTCTACCATTGAATAGTGACTTTTTGGGATGAAATTTTGCCATAATTCACAGACTTGGCAGGTGATTTGGAGATAACAGTAAGTATCATCAGGAATTTAAAGGGAGATTACTGTTTTTTTCACTGTGCTCTTTTACAAGATGCTATTAGAACTATAGCAGAAAAGAAGTATTAATATCTGAGGAATTGGTATAGGTAATATTAGCTTCATTTATGTATCTCTTACTTGAGGTGAAGATACACCGCAGCTGGTACAAATTAAGGCTGTTTATTTTACACGCATAGTACACGACTGTTTAGACTAAACGTGTTTCCGGCTCCGTTCGTGTGTACTATGATTCCATTATGCTAGTAGGTATGTCGCTCTAAGATATTGTATTTGATAATTTCACGAAGAATATTCTATATTTATTTTTTGGATATTACAAAAAATTCAGACTCTTTACATACAGCTTTGTTCCACTATAAATATTGAATAGATTTTTATTTCTTTTGCGGTTGTCAGGTCACCATGCCTAGAGGATGATATCAGGTTGCAACTTAAAAATCGCAAAGGTTTAAGTCTCTTGGTAGAATTTTTCACGAAGCAAGTTACGTAGAAGTACATAAAACAAATTAGTATCTGCAGTACCATGTAAGATGGCTAATTCTTTCCCTATAAACAAAGTACTATTCGTAAAAGCCTACTAAGTTTCCCAATCGTAAAGACCCGTAACACGTGTTTACGGCAGCTATACGACCGAGCTAGTCTTGAGTTATCCAGCCATCCTCAAATTGTAAACGTAATTAAAGACATTCAAACAAGAAACGATGACTAACACAATTTACTACTTTTGTTTATTTGGCGGTGTCAAATATTCTGCCGACTCTAATTGTAAACTGAGAATATTATTGACGTACAAAAAAGGAAATGGTAAAGTCAAATGATTTGATGATCAAAAACTTTGGTTTTTAATTTCAATAGTAGCAGATGCAGCAAAATGTTCACGGTTTAAATGGTATTGAGAAGAGGTATCAAAATACAAGGTAAAAATATTTGGTGACGGAGAGACCAACTTATTAGATACAGAAATGATTGACAGATAATAAAGAAGCCTGTTTGGAAGCACATATTTGAGTGCTATCGAGTTCAAGTTATTTTATAAGGAGTTTGACGGTATTGTATTGGTTTCGTTTGTTGACCTTGTTGTGAACATAAATATTGTAAATAGAATAAAAAAGTAAAACGTTTTATAGTACGACGGCCGTTGTCATCGAGGATGGGAATAAAAAAACGAGCATCGAAAACTTTTTAAGGGCCGACAGTGAGAAAGAAAATAGCACAAATTTTCCCAGTTTAGGAACAAGTCTCTAAAGCATTTACTTTTTCGAAAACTTTATAAACGGTAAAATTTTTTTGGGAGTTGCTAACTAATTGAGCCCCGTCATAATTACACGAAAGGGGGAATTGGGTCAGTTTTGTCACATGGCTTGGTGACTAATTTTCCTCATTCATTTAACAGCTTTGATACTGATCAATCTGAAGCGAAATTTCGTAAAATGTCTTTTTGATACAGGCACTCTCTATTTCAAGTTTGTAAGCATGTTAAAGGCAGCCAACCACTCTGGCAGCTTACCCTTGGGTTGTGAGGGGACCGCCGACTAAGAGGGTTACCACAATGGATCCTTTCCCCCGACAAAATCTCGTCTGCGTGTATATACGGTGTATGTAGAGATTGTTCAATACCTCGTAGACTTTAGTGCCCTTACACAGCAAATATGTAAATTATTTCAACCGAACAATTTCTTTCGCGCAATACAAACGGCCACATTAAAATTAAACAAACATCTAAACAGGCTGATAGAGATATAACCAAGCGACAATATTGACAGAGCTCAGCAAATATTTGCTTTGTAATCACTGTTTGTACTGTGTACTCGATTTTACTTTCTAACGTTACTCATTATTTTCTTTTAAACAAGGAAATTGAAAAGAATGTATCCCTTCGTGAAGGGTGGATACATAAGATACAACGTTCAAAGCAGAACCCCTAATAATTGGAGTTTGAGCTTGGGGTGCAAATATTATGAGACATTCTATCAAAACTTCTCGTGTATCGATAATTAAATGTCTTGAGGGATAAAAGGGAGACAAGGGCGAATTCAACGTAAAAGTTAATGCGCCACTCCAGTAACTCCAGTTGTAAAAGCTTATGGAGTATCAGGTGACTTTTTGCGTAATGAATTGCCGTCTCCGGGTGAATTTTCAGGCTCTTAAAGAGTTATTGCTTTTATATCCCTCACACCATATTATTCGCATTCACGTTCCTCTAAAGGTGTTCAAAGTTAGTGTTTGCTGTATTTGGGTTCTAAGCATACGAATGGAGTTATGAATGCGAATTTTCCTGCGTGTTATATCATCCAACGCGCTACGTCACCAGGGGTATAAGAACGGCACTACATTCCGCATCGCGTATTTAGGTCAGCTGGTAATCAGGCTCGTCATAACGTGAATAATTCACCGTATCAGATTGAATTTACTTCTGTAATGTTCTTTGCGTGCACGATGCTATCTGCTTACAGCTCAAGTTGGTGGCACCGACTCTTTTTAATGATTATGACTATAATATTTATTATTTACTCCCCCTTTATAAATTGCTTGGGAACGCGTGTTTGAC